CAGAATCTCTTCTTCTAGTGAGACGGCTATCAGCTTCTAACGGGCAGCTGTGAAGTCATGTCTGTTCTCCTAAGATATCCTGTATCTGCACTGAGTTACAGTCATTTTGGTAGACATTGAAGGTTGGAAGCTTTAGATGGAATCGCCGTATTTCCCTCTAGATAGGAGGATGGTTTAAAGGCAGCACCTTAAATTTAAACTTACGGTGATTTCCTTTGTATGCGTAGATGTGAAGAGCAAACAAACTGGACAATTTTCTCATATTCTTCAGCTTTTTGAGGGAGCTGTTTGCTTGGACTTGTAGTTGCAATACTATCTACAATAGTAGCAGTGACCTAAACAGTATATATTTACTCTTTCAGTATCATACTTGCAGAATCTCACGTCAGAGTTTTGCAGCTGCAAGCAGAGCTAGGGCACTGTCTAATTTCCCTTTAGGATCAGAGAACTGTGAAGCTTCAAAAAATGCTATGAGCTGTATGCTCTGATATGTGATGGTGAGACTGCTCCTAATTATATTCTCCTTCAGTTTCACTGTATTCAATCAGTTACATCTGATTTAATCCCACAGGAGACTACAGCTCCCAGCATCACTGACAGTTTTATCAGTTTGAATTTCAGGTAGGAATTCTGTCCATTGCATATCCTTTGGCAAAAATTTAAACTGATCATTTCCTGTTAAGTCATGCCCAGTCAGTTCCTCAGAGGTTTGTGTATGCATGTGTGGGTAAGAGAGAGAAAAAAGTAAGTTTATAAAAGAAATAAAAAATCATATTACAGAAATATTTATTTTCTCCATTTTTACATGCATCACTCCAGCAACCAAGTGATCTTTTCTCCCAGTCCTTTGGAGCTTAAAATGTTGGATTTGGGGTATTATTTTTGCAAGAGACTGTAAAACAATTGGATCACTTTGTGCTCTGTGAAACTTGGGAAAGAAAATTAACTGTTAGTGAGCCTGGCTATGTGACTGAACAGGTATGATTAGTACTATGGGATAGTGAGGCCAGTCTGAGATCTCAGAAACTGATATTAAGCTGCCAGGTGGATTCCAGCTCTTACAGTTTAGCAGAATGGAGCTTGAAGTTGAACTGTACATGCTTTCAGAATGAATATCCAAATGAGGTCTATATGAATTTGTGATGAGCTAACATTGTATGCCCTGGGGTTTGAGTTTCACGGGGGTGTTTATATACAAGACCTCCATCCACTTGTAGCATTAGGCATGTCTGGATTGCTTAAGTGAACAATAACCGTTTAAGCATAGAGTAAAAACATGGTTAATGAACTGGAAATAAGAATAATTTGTGCAGAAAAGAACGCTTTTGTCAGTTTTAATACAAACAGTCAAATACTGCAAAGCACTGAAGGAAACCAGGATCACGTCATCTCAGGTGAGCAAAGTATTGAAATATCCAAACAGTGACCACTTCTGATGGAACTAATCTTAAGTAAGATTAAGGCTTAAGTAAGAACTTGATAACCCTTTTCCCTCAGATAAAATCTCTGACATTCCTTTATGGGAGAAGTTGAGCACAAGTGAAAAACAATTCTCTAGCTGAAAAAGGGACAGCTCATGGATTAACGGAGTGCAAGAGCAAATCAGACAGGTAGGCTAAGGATGCAAGGAGATGGGTCTCTTATCTGTTCTTTCAGGAAATGCATGTTGCTGTGTCTCATTTACAAGGGCTCTCTGCTTTCTGCTGATTGCTCCCTGGTGGTGTGTGTGTTAAGGTAGAAGGAGTGAGAAATTCTGCTGCGGTGAGGAAATCAACGAATAAATCTCAGCTCACTATTACCTTGTTGTTCTTAAAGCACTCATCTGAGAATATAAAACAGGCATAGAATGTACTTCTGTTATTCAGAGATGTAAATGCTAGCAGATGCTAAGAGGAAAAGGTAAATTTGACCAGTGGTCGCTGGTCAGTACTTAAGGAATTCTGGAAGCTGCAACAAGTAAATTCATATCTTCAAATTGAGGAAGATATTCTCTTGTATAGAGAGTGTAAGGATTTGGGTGTGTAGTGGCTCACATAAAAGCATTTTACTTCTTGAAGAAAAAGAATCCATATTGACCTTTTCAGCTCTCTTTTCCCCTGTTGTGCTGAATCAACCACTCTGCAATGCACACATTGTGTTGCGCCCTGCTAAGCTGTAAGATTTGGAGTATAGGATGTAGCTTATAAATAGCTTCTTAGGAGTCAACTTGGCTTGACCTCCAAGGTATTGGTTATTCTCCTTCAGTAACATGATGTAAATTAATACCAGTGGCACTGCTGTGTCGTGTTTTCAGGAACATTTGAGCTTTAGATACTGAGTTTAATGCTGATCCTGAACGGGATCCAGAACCAAGAGTACTCTGATGTATTACTTCCATGATCTGAATTTTCACAGGAGCCAGTCATAAGTGGCTCACTTCAGAAGTTTTACAGCCAAATTTTTAGGACATCTGTAGTTCAGAAGAAAGCAACTGTGTGGAAGTTAATTTAATGCTGCCTCTGGTAAAACATCACTTTTTCAGTTATCTAAACTTCTTACCAGTTGTGGCCACATTATGATGGGTGATATTAATATAGTACAATTCCAGTTGCTAGAAGGCGATAGGAATGCTTCTGTTGCCACCCACCTCCTCCTTAAAAAAGATAATTAAGCATGCTGGACTATAATTGAACAATGGGATTGTGCAGATTGAGAGGCACTTAAGTGAATGTGATTTTCCTCAAATGCAAGGAGAGATACAGAACGTATCCTTTATTAAATTTCTGTTGTGGCAACTGAATGTACCCTCTAGCTGCTATCTATAAACGTAAATTTATGGGCTCATTAACCTGCTACATGATTCAGTAAATCTGACTCTAAATGGCATTGTGTGAAGAATGTCACGGCCCTCTGACACGAATACCAGGCAGCAGTGAACTCAGTCTGTGTTCATTTGTTGAAAAGTTGAGTTGCGGTCAGGTTATATTTGTAGTGGTGAGCCTGATGAGGGAGAAAACAGTTACTGTTTTCTCTCAGAGGTCTGATAAAGCTGGAATGAATTCTGCAATGTGTGGTGTGGTCAGCTTGGTGTCTGCATGATCCCAAGCCCTGGCTTGGCTGGGACCTTGGGAAAACTGCTTTGTGATCTTGACAGGTGCTCATGATGTGAGTCTGGAAGCCGCCCTGGCCTTGAAAGTCTAGAAGCAGTTAAATGCTGAGTGTCTTGAACTGGTTGTGTAAGGCCAGGAAAGAATTCTGAATGTAGAAGTTCAAACATCTCCAGTGTTTTCTGCTGATAAGAGTGGATAACAATGCAGTGATTTTTTTATATTTCCTGTGAAAATTCACTGGAATCAAAAGCTTGTCTAACTAGGTCTGAGACCACTACATCTGCAGGAAGAAAAATGAGACGGGAGATGGGAATTGATAGGGTTAAAGCATGGGAAGATGGTGACATCCTCCTGGCAGAAAACGTCCCTTTAAAAGTACGTTTAATTTAGATTAAGATTCTGAGAGGCATTATATGATTCTGGAGCAGAAATGTGCGATCTTTCAAGCTTGATTTAAGTGTAGTGGTTATAATGTAGCTGCTTTAAAAAGATGTACTCAGACACCTAAGTTTTCATGTAATAATTAAGAAAAAAACAACGAACATTTAGTGGCTCTTGGGCAGTTGAGAGAAGTTTCTTTTGAATGTTTAAGTTCTGGTTTGTTATGATTAAGCACCTTTTAGTTTTGGTGAATTGACCCAGGCTGGTATCTGAAGTAGAAACCTGATGTCAGTGCGTACATCTGTGATAACTGCCACATCGTTATACAGTGCCACCTGCTGAAGAAGAAATAAAAAGCTACTCTGTCTGTATTTAAAACCTAAAGCAAAACGAAAGTATTTGAGATGGGACTTAGATGTACTTTTTGTTAGAGCTCTGCTTTCCTGAAGTTTGAAGATAGGAATGTCAGTCTGTAATTGAAAAGCTGAAAATCGCTGTTCTGCTGGGTTTTGTTTCTTTGGTGTTTTGTTGTTGTTGTTGTTGTGTTGTTGTTTTTACAGAGACAAATGGCTCTGTCTGGAAATAGGCAAGTGTGATGTTAATCTGAATTCATGGAGGAATGATTTTACCATACATATGTGTAAGCTGAGCAAGGGTTAGTGGAAATCTGTTTGGTGGAAACCTTGCCCCAGGAGTTCTTCATTAATTGTGGTCCATCAGAATCTCAACATGTAAGTTGAGAAAGGCTTTCTGTAATTGCATGATGTGCAGCCAGTATTTGCAACTCCAGAAAAATACAAGAAATTTATGCTTCTGAGGTGAAAGTTATGTTCCTGTGGTTATCTACCATTGTCCTCTTTCCTCTCCGTAACTGTTTATTTGAAGTTATCCCCTCATTCTATTAAATAATACTGGATAACAATAACCAGTAGCAGAAGAAAAGCTAACACCAGGATCTTTGTTAGGACCCTTGTGATACACTAGTCATTGGGCATTGTAAGGTCTGTTCCTCTGGTGATCTATGAATGCACATTCTGCAGAATATGCGATGAAAGCTGTTACTTCTGAAGCATTCAAGTTTGTCTCCTCTGCCAAGTACTCAGCAGGTGTCTTAATGTGCTGTAAATCTGCAACATATCTGATACTGTTCTTATTTGCACGGATAGATGCAGAAAATACCTACTGAAGTGTGCGCATGGGCATGTTGAGGGCAGATAGAACTGGAGCTGAACACCATACAGTGTAGGTGAAACCTACTGAAAATAGTGAAGGTTATGGCATTTTTTTTAATGAATATTTAGACATATGCGTACGATCACCAATTCTTATATACAATTTTCTAACTGTAGTTTCCCTGTTAATTTTTTATACGTTTCCAACTAACATGATATGAAAAAGGACAAATTCTGTGATGAAGTGGTCAAAAAGAGCAAGACTTCATTTTTAAATCTGAAGCAGAATGTCAGCTGACAGCAGAAAATGCAGTGTGCTGTGGGATAGCAGAAGTCATGCATGATGTTACTGACTTACCAACTGCCTTTAGGGAGGCGTACTTGTTAAGCTCTTTGCCTGGGGGCTGTTGCTCGTATGGGTTTGTGATCTGTCCCAAGCTGGGATATGAGTGTTGATGTGCCATCTGAGGAAGGAGGGGGGATGTTGGCATAACGTTATTCATCTGTGGTGGATCTGTATTAATAAAGAAAATCGACAAGCATTAAAAAAAAGACAGATAAGCGTAAGATTCTAATATTGTTATCCACTGTAGATTAAATAGGTTATGTTGTGAGATTCAATGCAAGAGAACACTACTTACTACAAAGTGGAAGTTAGGGTACAGCAAATCTGTGGTTCAGGCAGTTAATATCATGACTAAAGGCTGATGAATGATTGTAGTAGTACATGCTAACTTTTGTATAAAGAAGATTTTTGAACTACAAAGTTTTCAAAACAATTGAACACTAAAACAAACATTACAACTTCAGTGTATAAACCAAAATGTCTAATTTATCCCAAGATTGCTTTAATACCGAGCACTAGTATCCCTCTGTGCAGTTAAATAGCCAAGCTACTTTAAATTGACTCCAGCAGGCTGCTGTGTATACATGGTTGTATTGCTTTTAATACCTGGATGAACTTGGTTATTTGCACAGCATTATGTTCTGTGCTGTAGACATGGTTACAGTGCTGAATGTGCAGTTCTGGCTCATGACTATCGTTAGGGAATTTCTTCAAAGCTCACACTACATCCTTATGTTTTTCCCTTTTCCTTGGCAGTAGGTATTGCAGTTTCACATCAAGGTAACTTTTTCTCTAGAAGTCATATATAAAACCAGAAGCCAGTTACTGCCTTATGCCATCACTTGCCCGATAGTCATTGCTCAACAGTCCTTTATAGTTGAGAATACAGTTTGGATAATTAATACAGCTGACCACTCTGTCCAGACTAGGTGTCCTTCAGATGGCTCTCTGGTTTTGAGGAAGAGTGATGGCATGGCTGTAATGGCAACTCAGAAGGTGGAGGCCATTACCTTTAATATAAGGAAAGTGGTAGCCTTTAAGCACTACGTTCCCTCATTTTGTTCTGAGTAGATCTAAATCAGCACTTTGCTGATACCACTACCATGAAGTTCCCTTGAGGGCGGTCATACTGTTCAGTCTGTCAAAATGTCATGATTTCACTGTGTTAAAAGAATTGTGTGCACCAGGATTTCTGCTCTCACTGCCAAAGTGACTTGCAACTGTGGAGGATTTGGGAAAGTAGTGTAAATAAGGTGTAGTTAACCAGGATTGCTTTTCTGTCTTCTGTCTCTTACCACTTCTATTCAGTCACCTTTCTAAAGGTAATGAAGAAAGTTACCCCAGAAATGTGCTGGGGAAACTGAATTAGGTGTACTTTATTTTCTTCCAGCTATTGTGAAGCATTTTTACTAGGATTCATTTTTCTGGGATTTTGTTCTGTTTGAGTTTTAAGAGAAAGCTAAAAAAATGTCATTCATTTCCAGATTGTCTTTGACTTCTGTTCTGATTAAAAGCCCAGAACTCTTCTAAATTAAGAATTTCAATAAAATTATTGACAGTCATGCTTTCTCTGCTGCACAGACTACATGTTGCCACTCATTTGCATCCAGCTGCTTACACGAGACGAAGTCTCCATGTAGAAAGCACACTTCAGATTACTCATTCGAATGACCATTTGCACAAAGTAAATTGAGCAAAAGGCCAAACTGCGGCACAGTGAATATATTGAAGAAAGATTCCTATTTGTGAGAGATTCTCAATGGACTTGATTCCCAGGGCCTAAAGGAAAGTCTTAGTACCTTGATATATACACCTGCTTAAATCTGAATCATACATGTCTTCAGTCTTCACTGATCATAAGTGTGAGAAACACTCTCAAGATCAAAAATTTCTAATCAGGCAAAGATCTCTGTGAAGAGCAGTTTATTCATTGCTGCAGTAATGGTAGCACACCCCCTACTGAAAGGGAGAAATTGCTCATCTAATCAGCGAAATCCATTCCATTATATAGCCTGGGTCCAACACAGCCACTGGGTCCTCCTGGCACTCATTGGTTGAGTGTCTCTGGTTCGCAGTCTTCCCTACGCTGTTGCTATGTTACATTTCCATACAATGTCTGCTACCAACCTATTGTTTTTAGGTATGTTCTGTACTTTTTATGGTGACAGGAGGACAGTTTTTCCGAAATTAGCACACTCATTCTGTCCTATGCTAGGCTCTCCCCTACCGTACCTAATTACCTTACCTAATGCCTGTGCCAATTCTGTGCAGGTTGAAACACCCCAGTCTCTCCTCTGTTCAGCTGCTGTCTTTGTGAAAAACAACTTATCCTACACCACATACAGAAATACTGGAAATTTCCACTGCAGAAACACAATCTACCACTCACACAAGGTGGAAAAAAAAAAAAAAAGGAGAACTCAAAGCAAAATGTTACAATAGCTGAAGATTTGCAGATACTTGAGACAAAAATATATGCCCTGAACTACCTAACGTTGAAAATAACAGTTGTGAAAACAGGGTAGACCTGAGCAATTAGAGATTACCAGGAAAAATCTGCTCCCATCCTCTCAAAAACTGCACTGTATCAACATGCGTATTTTTCTGTTTGCTCTTGAGTGTATTGTACTTCATTGTAAAAACCAGCTCATCCAGTATTGCATCCGTATGAGGTCAGTGCTCACAATCCTACAAGCCTCACCAATTAAAAGTGTGGGTGCTGTTTGCTGCTGAATCCCAGATACTAACAAAGCTGTGGGACTTTAAAATCTCGACTTTGCCTGTAAATGTGCACGTGTGAGGCCAACTCCTTTCTGGATAATAAGACTATTTTAATGGAACAGAGTCTCCTGCTGGGGTGAAGCTCAGCACCTCAGTACTTACTCTTGCATCCCTTATCTGTACCAGGGCAGATACACTTTTTGTGTGTGTGTGCATTTTCTTACAGCTGAACAAATGTGTATTTATCCTCTCTCTTCATAGTTCTTGACTTACCATTTTCATTGCCTTTTTATTTAGATTATTTACTTCTTCCTCCAGATTTACATTAGTTGTATATTTAAAGGATGTTTTTATTCATGTCCAGATCATAAATGCAGGAGCAGTAAGAGGTATGTTCTGCAGTAGATACCTCAAAGTCAGGCTGTCTACCATTAGATAATGCATTGTCTGTGGAAATGTAGATATATACATATTATTTCTGACCTTATTAGTTTCAGTAGCCACTCTCTGTCCAGTACCAGATGTCTGAAGGTGCATGAGCCCCCAGTATCGTAGTCTCTGGAAGGTGTGTGCTTATCCCTTCCAAAAGCAGGAGTGCAGGTAATGCCCAAATACAGCAGTACAAACTACAGCCCAAAACAACGCTCCTTTAAATTCTTCTAAAATCCACTTTTTCTTAACTGCTGTAAATCTTCATGATCCAGTTCTCCACAAAGACATAAGATGGTATTTCAGCTCATGGTAAATTAGCTACAATCTAAGGAAAAGATTTTGCAGTCAGGTAGAAGTCCAGAGTTGAAAAGCATTGCAATCATCAAGTCCTAATTTCTCTGCCTTGCAATTTGACTGATTTTGTCTTTTAGCAAGAAGAGATCCTCCAAATCCAGCTTCTGTACCACTCATTACTTTATATACTTTTTTTTCTGCTTTTCAATTATTTCTCCTTTCCTAAAGTAAATATTTTTGCTCCTTTCAGCCCTTCTTCACCTGACAAGCTTTGATCATTATGGATAACGTTTCTTGGCCACTTTCTGCCTTGCAGTGAAGCTTTTGAGATGAAATTCTACCTTCATTTTCTCACGTGGAGTTGTGTTTCTGTGCATCTATTTGTATCAGCAAGTCTGTCTCTGTTCCGTACAGTAGACAGGCTCTTTTTTTTCTGATCAGTGATGCACAAGTCATGTGAATAGCCATATTTTTTCTAAGCATGATAGTTCTGAGGCAACATATACTTTTTGTGACATTTTCTGTTAGCCAGTTTGCTGTCTATGCACTTTATCATAAGAACATTCTTCTAACACAGGCAACTTCCCTGTCTAATCACCATCACATAAAAGATCTGAGATGAGGAGGATGGCATTTCATCCAGCAAAAAAATGTTTCTATTTAATAGAAGTAACAGTCTACAGTGTAAATGCCTGTCATCAAACATACTGTCTTTTGCCTTTGTGTGTCCTATCTAGCAATTGTAGGAGTAGCCCCATGCTACATGTTAATGCTCTTTACTCTCCTATGTGCCACTGAATGTCGCCCAGCTTCCTGATGTCTAGTGATGTTTGTTATTCATTTTCTACATGCTTAGAGTCTTTGATCTTTTGCTGTGTCCCATGGTAGTGGTTGCATACTGTTACACATGTGGATATCCCCAGCAGATTTTTGAAGATAAGAGTATTTTTCACCAAAATAGAAAAATGCTGAGCCCAGGTACATCTTCATGTGCGCTGTCAGATTCAAAAAGGTGTTAAACTCCTTATGAAAATGGTGTTGTGGACTGTGCTGACAGCGTGTAGCATAAAGAAGTGAAGGGTAACCCCTGCTGCAAGCATTTGTGAGTCAGCAGGGTTGTAATGCTGACTGACCCCAGAAAGGCCTATTGATTCAAGCTGAAAACTGGCAAGAGATGGGATGGCATAATGTCTCTTAGCTCTTTAGCTAATCCTTTATCTCTCGCTCGTTCAGACGCAGGAAAGAAGGTCAAGGAGCCAGGTCACAAAATCCACAATGTTCTGCCCTCTGTCTGTAACTTACGAGGCAGACTTTCTCCTGCCAGGAGAGGTAAGCTGCAGAGACATTTCAGTAAGCCCTGCAGTCAGAGTGCTGTTGTCACTCGAACAATACACTTGCCTAGCTTATAAGTGGCAAAACTGCCATTTCCTTCTGGTGCAATGCTGTACTGCTGTCAGATGCAGGCAGTGCTATCAACACACACTCGAAAACAGATGGGCTTTTAATTTTCAGTGCTTTTATCTTCAGTGCAAATGAGGACAGCACTGATTTTACAGTGCAAGTCTCCATCTCTTTATTTTTCTGTGTACATCCTTCAGACTCTTACCTATGTAACTGTCAGACATTTTTCTTTGAATAGCAAATTTTGGAGTAGTTGAAACATGAAAGAAATTTAGAAGGGCTGTGGCAGTCTGAGTCCAGCGAGGGACCTAAGTCCAGCA